ATCAGCATCATCATCATTGTCAGCATCACCATCATTACCATCCTCACCACCATCCTCATGATCATAACCATCATCAGCAGCATGATCATCATCATCATCATCAGCAGCAGCAGCAGCAGCACCATGATCATCATCAGCAGCAGCAGCAACATCGGTATCAGCATCATCACCAGCATCAACAACAACATGATCGTCATCGGCATCGTCATCGTCGTCGTCGTCATCAGCAGCATCATCATCGCCACCACCACCATCACAATCAACATCATCATCAGCATAATCATCAGCATCATTAGCATCCTTATCGCCACCATCAGCAGCACCATCATCATCAGCATCAGAATCCTCATCAGAATCATCATCATCATCATCATCAGCATCATCGTGAACAACATCATTATCATCAACATCAGCATCACCATCATCATCGTCATCAATATCAACATCATCAGCAGCATCAGCATCATCATCATCATCGTCATCGTCATTGTCATTATCGTCATAGTCGTCATCATCATCATCATGATCGTCATCATTAGCATCAGCATCATCTTCGGCGCCATCATCAGCCTCGACATAATGATAACTATCACCACCTTCATCATCAGCAGCAGCATCATCATCAATATCATCAGCATCCGAATCAGCAGCACTATCATGTTCATCATCATACTCATCATCAGCAGCAGTAGCATCACCATCATCATCATCATCAGCAGCAGCATCATCATCGTCATCGTCGTCATCATCATCAGCATCGTCGTCGTCGTCGTCGCCATCGCCTTCCTCCCCCTCCCTCTGGTATACTCCTCCTACGTCTCGTGTCCCCATCCCCTCCTCGCCTGTTCCTCCCCTCCCCTCTCATCCTCGTTTTCATCATAGTCGTATCGTTCTTCCCCGTCCCCCATGACCTCTACGGTGCACTTTCCGCAGAACCCGAGCGAGCTAGGACAGTGTCATGGATCCCAGATCCCCCCTTCTGAAAGCCAGCGGAATGGCGGAAGCCTCTAGGAAAATCCAACATCACGTTACACTTGTGACTCACTGCCATCTGACAGCGCTCCATCGAGTGCTTTTGCCATTAATGCTGCAAGGCGCGGTGCAGCTTCGGAGACACTCCATCGATGGTCACCGTGGCTCAGAGCCTCATGAAATGCTGCCTGGGCAGCTGCATCAGCTCGCCATTTTGAGGACAAGATCACAAGCACCGTTGTGGCCAAGACTGTCGTAACGGTATACCTCAGAGCATCACCCTGAACATGAGCATAAATGTACGTCGCCATCGCACCGAAGAAGGTATAGCAGGACACGAAGACTGCCTGCCTCGCCATCTCGCGCGTCTTCTTTTGGGGCAGAATGAAATACTCCATTATGATACTGTCTCTGTCGTCGGACAGGATGTATGTCTGCAAGCGGCGAATGTGGTAGTACTGGTTCACCATGATTGTCGTACCAATGCCCGAGCAGGCAATACTCACGACGATCTGCAGGCAGAAAGCCCAGCGGAACGCCTCCTGCTCGAGGAAGCTCTCGCGGTCTTCTGGGCTCACCTCGAACCAGACTGTCACGGTGGATCCGAAAATGAGTGCGGAGACGATGGCGAGTGAGCTGTAACTGTCGGCTGAATTCCAATCACACTGCATCGTGAATGTAAAATTTGGAAGGCCGTGTGCGCACGCACGCGGACACCGTGCAGCTCTTCCTAAAGACTCCGCTTGGGCTCAAATGGCCACCTCTTCCAATCCTCCTGCAGTCGCGGCACGAAACATCACCCACAACAACAGAGTGTGTTGAACACACCCCGCCAATTACAATGCGACGCCGTGGAATATAGCGCGTGCATGCTAGAAATTATACCGCTTTGCCGGGATTGAAGTCTTGCGGTTTGATCCTGAGAGCCCCGCAGGTCTGATAGCAGAGAGAGGGGTGCTGGGGTACGAAGCTACGGAAGGAGGCGCCGCAGTGGGCCTCCATGGGTGATTCTGGCGATCTAGGGTGTGGCCCTGTGTGACACCCACAATGCCTGACATAGCTTCGTCAAAACGCACAAGGGTAAGGAAAGGAGCCGGGTGGTCATGCGCATGGGCATCGGAATGGGGGGGGCGGTGCAGGACACTTCTATCATGCGCTCGATCCCCATCCCCCCATGTTCGTTGCAGCGCTGTTGACATTATCTGGCAGGGACCTGTTCCTGACTGGACAGAAGTTGAGCCAGCGTGGCATTGCGAGCGTCAGAATGCTCACTTTGCCCCCGTGGATTCTTTCCTTTATTGTGCATGGCATGGGGTGGCTCCTGTCGTCCCCACAGCGGCGAGCCAGCTGATCGGAGAGATCACATGCCGCTTCCGCTCCAGTGCTCACCCGAGAATGCTGCCCCTGTGGCTGCTCTTCTCCTCTTCCCGTAACTGCCCCGGAATTCGCAGTAAAAGGGAGGGGGTCTGGACCCTCCAAGACAGGCCACTTCAACCTCCCCCGTGAGCCGTGCAGGAAGACTCGTCCACCAGGCCCCCCCCAGGCCCTCCAGGATGTTACTGGAAAAGAGACCCCCCCGACCGAAATGAGACCCCCACCCTCTATGACGAAATCTCGAAACCTGGAGTAGCTGCCCACTTCGCCCCAACCTAAGGAGGAGGAGGAGGTGGTGGAGTGAGAGGAGGGAGAGGAGGAGGTAGAGGAGGAGGCTTGGAGGATGAGGAGGAGAGGAGGAGGAGCAGAAAATGAGGAAGGAGAAAGGAGGAGGAGGAGGATTAGAAGAGGTGGAGGAGGAGGAAGGAGGCGAGAGGAGCAGAAAGAGGAGGAGGAGGAGGAGGAGGAGGAGGAGGCCCCGCGCCGTCCCGCCCCCGTTGCCTCTCCCCGCCCCCTCGGCTCTCGGTCCCCCGGCTCGGCTCGAGACCCCGCGCGGCCAGCCCGCAGTGCGAGCGGGGGGTGGGGGGCGCCACGCCGCGGCGTGCCTCGAGGGCCAGCGCCTCGGCGCCAGCACCCCCCCCATCTGGCATCCCCCACTGCCTTTTCTGTCGGGCGTGCCCCCCTCCAGGGGGATCTTCGACGAAGAATAAAAAAATACCCCAAAAAATACCCCAGAAAGGTCAAGAAATGTTCAAAAAGTAGTCACCCGACTATGTTTGTATATTATTTGTTGGCTATTTTGGGGGAATATGTTTCATCCTTCGTCGAAAATCCCCCTGTATGGGGGACGGGCCCGACTTAACACTGCCTTCAAACGCTGGCCCCCCTCCGATGGGCACCAGCCTCACATCGGAGGGCACCAACTATACACCAACACCGATCCTGGCCCAGGATCACCCTGGGCCCAGGATCGGTGTATACGCCCTCCTGCCTTGCGCAAGAAGGCATACACACCGATCCTGGGCCCAGGGTGATCCTGGGCAGGATCGGTGTTGGTGTATAGTTGGTTTGCCCCCTCCGATCACAGCCCCCTTCACCGCTCGCTGACGGCCCCCCCGTGGGCCCCCAGGAGCTGCCACGCACATGGGGAGCCTGCGGCAACCTCCGGCGCGCGCTTCTCCGTGGCGCCCCTCCTGAACTACCTGCAGACCACCCCCCTCCACCTCCTCCTCCCCTCCTCCTCTTCCACCTCCTCCTCCTCCTCCTCCTCCTCCTCCTCCTACCTCCTCCTCCTCCTCCTCCTCCTCCTCCTCCTCCTCTCCTCCTCCTCCCTCCTTCCTCCTTCTTCTTCCTCCCCTCCCTCCTCCTTCTCCCACCACCTCCTCCTCCTCCTCCTCCCCCTCCTCCTCCTCCTCCTCCTCCCAACCCGAAGACCCGAATTTGACCCGAATTTGACCCGAATTTCGGGTTGGGGGGGTACGGCTTCCCGTGTGTTTTTTTCAGTGTTCCCCGACCCCGCCCCACTGGAACTGGAGCGTCGGGTTGGGTTGGGGTCGTTGGGTGGGTGGTGACTCCTGAAGCCTGGGCCCCCTGCTTTTGCGCACGTGCGAGGCGGGGAGTCATCCATGGCCCTGCCCGGGGAACCGACGTCCTGGGACCCCATGGGACTGTGGATCTGGATTTGTATTCGGTCCCCTGGGGGTCCCGAACATATGCATACTTATGTCGATCAACATGTGTATTACTATACATCCATGTCCACATGCACCGCCTGCCGAGGTCCAAAACAATCGATCACCCAGGGTGTAGTCATGGATGGATCCCCGCCTCGGATCGTAAACGTCCACGGCGACGGAAACATCGCAAACCGACCAAACCGACCGCCAGACCGAGAGCACCCAAAAAACCGACAGACCGAGAGGCAGCCTGGAAAGGCGCAGACGGCGCAGCGGCAGGCCAGAACGAACTGACCGAATGCAGCCGACTACGACGCAGCCGACCGAACCGAGTCGCGGACACCCTCCTCCCCTGATGGGGAACGGCACTAGGGGGACCAGCTCATAGGGAGAAAACACGGGCCTGGAATCGGCGGTACATCTCCGATATATCGGCGATCGGCCCCCGATAGCGAATCCACCCGCTCCTGGGCGGGGTGGGATCCGAGTAGACGGGGTCAGAAGATCGCGCCGCATCGCCGACGTATCGCCGATACATCGGCGACGCACCAGCGATGCACCAGCGACGTCGGCGACACGTCGGCGCCGTCGGCGCGGACACAATCGGGCCCTACATCGAGCCGCATCGCCGACGCATCGGCGATACTTACGGCGCGACCCTCCGACACCACTTGGCAGGCCTGGAACCATGCACTCTCTGGGCAGGACGGAGGAGGCCACGCCGCAGCACGAGCACGAACGGCCGGTGGCCTGCGCGGCCCAGGCTGGGCCAGCGGAGGGCCCCTCGCGCCTCCTCCTCCTCCTCCTCCTCCTCCTGCTGCTGCTCCAGCTCCAGCTCCTGCTCCTGCTCCTCCTCCTCCTCCTCCTCCTCCTCCTCCAACTTTCCTCCTCATCCTCCTCCTCCTCGAGTTCATGCTCCTCCTCCCCCTCCTCCTCCTCCTCCTCCTCCTCCTCCTCCTCCTCCTCCTCCTCCCCCTCCTCCTCCTCCTCCTCCTCCTCCTCCTCCTCCTCCTCCTCGCCACTCCTCTTCCTCCTCCTCCTCCTCCTCCTCCTCCTCCTCCTCCTCCTCCTCCTC